ATTGATCACGAGGAATCCATGAAGCTCGGCTAGCGATTCGGACGCGATGAGGGTGAAACGAACACACAAACACAGATGCGCAGATGTTTTCGATAGTCTGTATTGCACCTGGAGCCTCGAGAAGAAGAGAAAGAAACGGATCCTTGTAACACAATGATCACACTGAACTTTCTCCTACTGGACACAGTCAGTTGCTAGTGCGTTGGGTTTGAGGCCAGATTTACACACGTGACGGAATGGATAATGTAGACCGCAGAATCAGATATTGATCGATTTGCTAGAACTAATTTGAACAGTGCTTACGAAGTCACTCTCAACTGGTAGTCTTTCTGATAATATTTCATTGTTCCGATTCAACGAATCACAGGACAACTGATTGTTCTTCCTCCCTTTCTGCCCAGGCGTCGCAACGCACTTGACCGAACCCATACTCGTGGAACTAAACGCCGCCCGGTTGACCGCGTACCAAGCAAAGTGTCGGCTGAAAGAATTTCGAGATCAGTTCAATCCGTCCTGTGCAATGGTACACTCCGGAACAGTGGATCAGGTACGTCGGAACAGTTCATTCTCGTACGCTTCGGCTGGCAGTTATCCGAGTGGCGATTGGAACCCCGCCTTAGTCAATTATATAACCGGGCACGAACTTTGTGCTACTTTCAGATGATGAACGCGAAGACCGGTCGACTGCTCAGATAAGATAATCCAGTCATAGTTTGGCACAGGTTGTGATACATGGAAGATTCCATTTTCACTTACCTGATATCTCAATCATCAGGGACATCTTGGCATGAAAATGAACTATGTCAGCTAAAATTCTATGAAGAACTTTGATTAGTGAGTACAGTGAGTACTTACCGTTCTCTTCGGAAACGCGTCTTCAATTCCTACAACAGCTAAATGTTACCTGTATGAAAACACGGTAATGCCGACAGCTTTACATACTTACGGGATGATTGGATTCTGCCACAACACGTTGATGTCTGCAAACGGTCGTGTGGCTCCACGTTGTCACAGATATCGCTTTTTGTTCAACAAACTGTCATGTCATTGATTGTCTTCATTCATCGTTAGTGATCACTCATTTGATAAACCAGCCTCATTTATTGATCTTTAGACAGTGAAGCGAAATTCTTCCTATTGGCGAATTCGAACCACACACAGCCGTGTATCGCTGTGTACTTTGTAAACCTGTAACAGCCACTGATGTTTAGTGAAAGTATTCCAATTTTATATTTTAGGCTACTTCAATGTCTTTATTATGCATACCTGTGCGTTCCCTCGTTTCTCAATCAGTTATTGAATTTTCCCTTCACAGGTTCCATCGGAACAATCATCCACCGGAAGAAATAATGGTAGGTGGACGGTTAAAAAGATGTATTTTTCATCGGAATGTCCTTTTTCTACCGGAAAAATAAAACCTTCGTGTTTGTCCATCGCAATGACCTACTTCGTGACCGCGGTCTTTTGCAGTTCTCCACATCAGAGTTTTAGGTAATCGCGGTCGTCTACTGAAGCAAGTGCTCGACCACCATAGATTGCTCTGGTTGGGACATATTTTGCGCATGTTACCAAATAGGTTGCCTCTTCGGGCCATGTTTGCCGAAGCACGTAGTAAGTGTAAAAAGCCAAGGGTGGTCATAATGCGACCTGATATAAGGGTATGAAAACCCAACCACAGGAGTCGATCACATGGGTCCCGTTATGCTCTCTCGATGAGGGTCCCGAGATCGCTGTAATCAATCGTTCGAGACGCTAATTTATCTGATCGAGTGCCGCAAACAATGGCACTCTTGCTTCTACTCATCTCTGCCACCTTGTCCATGTGAGTTCTCTATCTTCCCCGTTGTATCTGTTCTCGACATTCCAACCTTTATTCTGCTGGCTTATCCAAATGGGCAGCCCAAAGACAGCAGCCAAAACCAGCGCATGAAAGCACATGGTTAATTGTTGTGTAAACTGAACTGAAACCAAAACTGCGTAATCCTGCTACGGCATGTGCCACCTCTCGTGTTCCTTGTCCCATCAAATTTGGTGCGTGTTTTGTAGCGTGTGCAAAACATTGACAAAACAAATCCCAATTTGAATTCAAAAGCTTGTTACTCAATCGGAAATGGATTGTCACAACAATAGCGCGATGGGGATAATACAAAGGAGACTATTCGATGATGTTAGTAATACCTTCTTCTGTACAGTAAAGTTCAGTGTTTGTTTCACGCCCCAGCCTATTGTTTGTTTACGGCCAAAGAACAAGTGTCTGATTCTGCTGTCTCAATTTGTGTTTACTCATTCACATGTTCCTCTGTAACAAGGTACATAGGCCGCACGGTCAGGCATTTGTCCAAACGAATACCATGAACACCAGCCGGCATGGCTAAACATAGGTACGATTAGGTCACTTACTAGTGCAATGGTTTCACACCTGACTGAAACTAGTCACACTGTGAATGTAACAGAGACATTCGGGCCCCTGTATATGTTCGCAGTCAACTGTCTAAGTAGGTTCGATGTCATAGGCTGGTCACAGTGGAAGCGGTAGGAATGTGTCTACACAACTCCGAGTGGTCCTGACGATCGGGTGACCTAACATACAATTATGTGAGTATTGAGAATCCCTTATCGGTTCTCCTAATTTTCATTTAAATGGGTAGCCGAAAGATAGCAACCAAAACCGGCGCACTATAGTGCATGGTTGATGGTTGTGCAAACTGAAACTGATTCTGTGAATGTTTCCTTTCCCAACTATTTTTTCTGTTTGAGTTCGGATATATACATACATTGATGTGTTTACTGTGATGTGATGGCATAACTACGAATCCCTGAAAACAAGTTTGTTTGCCGACACCATGTTCAATTTGCAATACGCTCTGTCGGACCGTTTAGACAGTTCAAATGAAAAGTAATTTGGAAGTTATTGTGAATATTTGTTATCCGTCAAAATTACGTCAATGAAGTAAGAGGTTGACTGTTCTTATCTTTGCGAAGTACAAGCACAAAAGTTCGAGAGAATCTCAATAAAGTGCAATCCCGCCCTGGCGCGTTCCCCACACACCCACATATCATCTGTATTTCATCTCCCACTGCTTTACATCAAATTGGTGATGTCAATGATTACACAAACACAAAAAATAACTTATAGCTGCTAATAATGAAACAAATATGAGGAAGAACAAAACGCCGTAGGCTTAGGATAATCCGTACCTTGGCCCACCTACAGGCGAACACGACCTCTACAAAAAAGTACCACATACAAATATACTACAAAAATATAACATGACATTAACTTCATTGTTGCATCCAGACTCACAAAACCTCTGCCGCTTTTGTTTCAATACAAGCTCTCTCTCTGGGATTTCCTCCGACAAAGCGTTCAATATTGGAAACATTAGTCATACAACAACTCAACTAACAACCGAGAACCGCAACTGTTTTCGGCTCAAAATTACTGACGGTAACAGATCCCCTTATTGAATGCAGCGAAATCCAGAATGTTTTCCTGCACCACTGAGGGATGCAGCCACCCGGAAATACACGCGGAGTGTGTTGTTTGCAATTTAACACCACATAGATGATATCTGGAATAAAAATTTCCACAGTGCTTATACCGCAGATGAAATTGATACCTTCATCATCCAATTCTGGGCCGTGCAGCCTACAGCTTTTGTGGATTCATAAAATCACATTGATTGTGTATTTAGTGACACTTTACATTCTTAGTCTCCAGAAGCTTTGACCGCATAGATTGCTAACGAACGACGAGATCGTAGGCTCACTGGAGTCAAATAATTGCATTCTCGTATGAGTTATCGGCTAGAATACAGATCGGCGTTCTGTTTCGCCTGTCGTCGTAAAACACCACTTTCTGTGACACGAACATAAGCATAGTTTACATTTCTCATCGCAATACAACATAACAGTCTGCGAAATATTCGGCAAATTCTAGACCCAAACTTGCGAGTCTTACTCAAAGTATAGTTTATAGATTTGTTATAAGTGGTTGAATCGATGACAAGTCAGCTTGAGTATAAAAGACATAGTTGAATCAAATTCGATTTTGTGAAGAGAAGTAACCTGACAAGATCTGACCCTTGGTTTCCAACCCCTTATTGAGACGAACCTGATCGCTTCAATCATCAAAGGTTTTCAGGTGGAACACCTCGTCATACTATCCCGGAAAAAAACAAGTACGAGTTTGTAGGTGGTGAAATTCTGGATGGTTTTCGGATGATATCTGCAAACTTAGTCGCCAAGATGTCTCAATGAATAGGTACAATAAAATTAGTTGAAGTTTAGTGCGTGTTTGTCTTCTCACGGACACTCGCATCCTTCTAGTGTTAAGTTTCACTTAAAGTTGATCTCGTCTTCACATGAACACCATTGATACAAATCTCGCGTAAATGATCATGACGTGATGCAATACTGATTGAACACTTACCCGTCCATCCTGGATATGGTTTTCATTTTGTCTTCAACACGACGCTAGATCAATCCCCATCCCCGAATCACACCGATTGCAGTGGCTTATCCGGTTCCGGTAGTCCCCGAACCACGAGCGCATCCACGATCCGGATCGCGCAGACACAACTGAAACCGGTCGAGGACCCGATCCTCGGTATTGTGACTATCGTACGGAAATTTGAACGTCTGAGTCGGACGCCAGTTGTTCGAAACGGGCATCATCAAGTGTTACGTCAATTAATAGACAAGTATGTATGAATGCGCCTGTCTCCTCTATTGTCCGTCTGTTTCACAGGTGGTTTCCTCGTCTATATTTGTCTCAATCAACCTGGTCAAGAGTGCCATGCCTGTCTGGTTCTAGCAGCCATGATCTTACTCACTCTAAGGGTTTAGCGTGAGATTATTGGCACAAAACGATCAACTTTAATAATACTTTGCAGCATGTCCGATTCAGTAAACACATGCCACTTGTGCATCCGTGTTTTCACATTCCAGCTGATTAATCACCAAGCGGTGCAGATATTTTTTGCGCAAAACAGTGACCTGCTTTTATCATTTCCGATCAGAAACCATTGTTCGCTACTAGTTCGAGGTCGAATGTGCTGATTTAGTCGGTAAAAAGCCGATTTAATCCAGTCGTATCGGTGTATTCATCCCATAGGTTTGTTTGGATTATCAATCTCAGAGACATGGATTGTGTAGCTGGTATTCCTATTAACAAACTCCTCCGGTATCTGCAATCTCTTGACAAAAGAATACACCTCGCCCAAGGGAACCCGTTAGACGCATACAATGAACTCATCGCACATCTGAGTAGTCGGTTATTCAACGTGAGCAAGACATAACAAATGTCCCACAATGTGATACAATGCTTGAGTTCTGTCCTTTACCGATACCGTCCTCTAGTAAGCCAATGTGTTCTTTCAGTTTTCCCGTAGAACAACGTTTAATTGTGTGTGTAAGAGAGAGAGAGTTGACCACAATAGTTTTTCGGTCGGTTTGCAACAAATGTTGTAGACCAGACCGGGCAGTATTGATGCCTACGACATTGTGTGATTATTGTTTTTCTCATGTTGGAAGGTGAATCGTGGTTCTGTTGGGATCACCGAATATCTCAACTCCATTCATTTCATATCCAAATGAATCAATAAATCCGCTCTGTATATTATAAATGCTGTGGTATTTGAGTGGGCAATACGCTTCATTTGGACACCAGAAGTCACTCCAGGATTGTAGACAGCACAACGGATAAGTTGACGCATCCTTCAATATCTATTTACGCCGGTCCGTTCACATAAATGAATTGTGTGCTCTTGTCCATCGTGATGATGATATCACACACACACGCCGGTTGTTATGACTTTTCCGGAACCAATGAGACATAACAAAGTAGATTGTGATACAATATGGTGTACATTATATTCTTTTTATGACCAATCAAATTGTCACAAACTAAACCCTCTTTTACAATTTAAGTTGTCTGAGCATCTAACCAAGATGTCGTGCGATCATTTCAAGCTGTCTCCAAATCACTTCAACCTATCATTTCCAGAGGTCCTGTTAACCTTATCAGTGCTTCCAGGCCCATGCACTGGTTCAACTCTCATAACGATATCTGGATGATCACCATACAGCACAGGTTACTCAACCCTCCGTTAAAACGCGAGGGAGGCGGACGGTTGTGAAATGTGTGCCTTTGTCGCACACGCACTAATTGCAATGACTTATGTTGGTGTTTACCTTGCTGTTGCTCGTGCGCGTGTATGTTTGTCTCCCTCCCGATGAACTTCATGTCGGGCGCGTTGCGCTGAAATCAATGGATTATTTGCGATCGACGCTTGAGTCATTGTTTATGCCCGTCACGATTTTGAAATAGGCTCCACGAAACACATCTCAACCGACTCCAAGAATACGCCGATCGATATACGCGTCCAGATTCACGTTCAGTTAGTTTGCTGCCTCCGGGTTATATTACGTTTCTCCGTCACTATCTGAGAAGAATCAACTGTGATTCGAGCCCTCACGTGCCGAACAATACAAAAGGATCACTTTGACCATGTTTCCGGATCGGAAAAGAATATGTCTATTACGCTGATTGAGATAGAAGTATAATCAATATGGCTGACAATAAAACCATACATTATTCAATAGTTACGTAGTTTTGTCACAACATTCTGAATTCGAACACAAATAAAAATGTGCTTTTCCGAATACGGATTCTGAATCCGATAATCTCTATCGTTGAAATCCCATAGCTCTATTAGGGCACCCTTACCCCAAAGTAAGCCAGGTGGATTGAGGCTAACGTGTGACATTCTAAAGTAGCTATTGTGAACTGGCTTCGAACAAACAATTTTTTCTCTCAGTTTACTTCCTTTTTATTGAATACACAGGGACACAATTTCCAGGAAGGAGGAAGCGGCCAATCAAAGAGCTG